TTTGAAATCGTTCCAGTAGTTTTTGAGCCTATTCATTACAACCAAACAAACAAACAAACAAACAAAGTTTTCCTCTTTATAATATTAGTATAGATAAGATATGTACATAGTTAATTTCCATATAAAAATAATATCAAATGTATTCTTCTAATTGTGCTTACGTATGTGGACGTGAGATAAACTTGATTCATAAATATTAGTTCAAGTTAAAAGATAAGTAAAATGCCGAACAAATCTTAAATACATACATAATATCACGCCTCTTATTATTTAAAGGCGGAAGTTACTGTAGGAACTGTAGGAAGAAAGATGAAAGATTTTTGTTTCCAACTTAAATATTGGAAAATACTGGGAAAAGTTCTGAACCCTGTGGTAGTCCAAAGTATTTTGGAATCATAAACCCAAGTTCTACTTCCATGACCTGCAATATTTTGATTAATCTTCAAGAGTTGCACTCAGTATTAAAATTAAAATATCTGATTCATCTTTAGAACCAGTGGAGGATTTTAGTAAGTAAATGTATTGCATCAACATAATAAGTCCAAATCGAACCCGGAAACCCTTTGCTAGGCAGCTACATTTGCGTGGTCACCAGTTAGGCAAACGAGGCCGAAACTTTTTATTTTTATTTTGTTCAACAAGAATAAAAATATTATTAAGTATTTCACACTATTACACATTAAACGAATTAATTACTTAAAAAAATAACACGCTGAAATACTGCCAAAATATTAAAAACATTATCAATCAAATAAAAATAAATCCATCTAATAATAGCATTATTAATACCATTAACATTGATAGAATAAATCTTAATCATAACAATAACGATGACATTCTAGAACACATAAAACTAGAGCAGGCCACATCTGTTTCCCAATTTTAATAGTATCATTAATACGTCACAGATTTCCATATAAGAATGAGTATTAAATGAAATCTAATTCGGAATTACCCAAATAGTATTACACCTTTACGATGCACTATGCGTCATAGATGCGTTCTGTCCTTGTCGCACGCGCACACAGTATTGTCTACCTTTCTCTTTCACACAGCAAAGCCATTAGTTGTCGTCTTTTGTTTATATATATAAAATGTGCGGACTTCGCATTCATTTATTAGTTCATATTCATTGAGTGAAGACGGAATTTTAATATATAATTTAATTTATTTGAAAGTTATTGAACTTTGTGACAGTGATAACAATAAGGAAGATTAAAGGTGAGTTTTTTTTTATTCTTAGTGAGATAATATTTGTTTATTATTGTAATAATTCTTATAATATAAACAATTGTATTTAAAACGATAAATCTCTTGTTTTGGATGGTAAATCGTGTAATATATAATCTACAAGCAACCAGCAACTACAGAAAGTTCACGCTCACACATTGGAGCCAAAATGGTCCCATAAAGTTTGGTTTCTTTCTTTTTTTCTTCCCACGAACCCTCCGTTTGTGAAATGAACTCCCTGTCGTGGTTTTCCTAGTAGGCTACAACATGGGGTTCTTCAAAAAAGGAGTAAATAGGTTTTTCAGGGGTCGGCAAGGCGCATGTAATGCCCCAAGTGTTGCAAGCGTACATAGGCCACGGTAACCGCTTACCATCCAAGTGGGCCATGTGCTTTTGTTGCCACCATCGTGGTATATAAAAAGAAATTAGCCTAAATAAGTAGAAAGCTTTAAAATTGCCTTTAACCCATGGTATGCCGGGAGCATAGATATACGCGAGACACAAAATGTTTTCTATTGTGTCGCAGATAAGAGGTTAAATATTTATATTTTCTAGTGATTATTAATTATAAGAATTGTTAACTGTACATTTATATGTTATTTATTTCTACACATTACACACAAATGTACAAATTAATTAAATATGGGTACTGCATAGGTCGTTGTATTTCTAAAGGACCATATTCAGTTATATATAGTTTACTAGCGAACCGCCTCGGCTTCGCACGGATGCAATATGCATGTATTATACATATAAACCTTTCTTAAGAATCACTATATCATATTATATGTATGCATATTTGGGATATATATTTATTATATATAATTCATTTTAAGTCCCTATACCCTTAGTTATGTATTATCGACTATAACTATCATATCTTCCCTCTTTAATATTTTATTACCTTAACTTCGTTATCTACTACTTCATACTTTCTTTTTACAATTTTGCACCTACCGCTTAACATTCTGCACCACCCAATGGTCGACTGTCAGATAATGCCTACGGCATTAAGTCCGCCAATTACACTGTATGTGCAATAAAGTTTAATAAATAAATAAATAAATAAATATATCTATTAAAAACCGCATCAAAATCCGACGCGTAGTTTTAAAGATCTAAGCATGTATAGGGACAGACAGACGGGGGATAGCGACTTTGTTTTATACTATTTAGTGATTAAACTTAAACACCTTCTCAAAAATATTTTAATACACTTTAGTATACTTGGCAACTTCCCCATTCCATATAAGTTACTTGGATTATTAGGTTAGAAAGCGCGAAAGACGTCTCACACAATCATTGACGCATTGCTTACCCATCAGTATTACATTAAAGGCCCTAATGTGTCAGTTCTTATCCCTTTGCAAGATATGCAAGCATACATAGGGACAGACAGGCGGCGGATAGCGACTCTGTTTTATACTATAAAGTGACTAGATACAAAAGTTATGATCTACCTACCTAGACATAATCATTATGTCCAGTTAGGTACCAACAGTTGATACCTAAGATATCAAAGTAGGTATTATCAATAAAATATACAAAATATAATGTTTTATTTTTGTCTGTTATCTTAGTATCAGTGTTGTATAGAGGTCAGCGAATCAACTCTGTGGTCATGATAGTCAGTGGTAGGACAAAAGTCGTTTGATATTTTTATGTAGTTATAAAAAATTATTTTAAGTAGTTTGTGGTGTACCTACTTTTGATGGCAGGCCTTTTGTTCCCAAAGAGGTAGGCAGAGGTGCACAGTACGGCATTTAATTTCAGTGTACAATGTAATACAAACTTTTCACTATTTATGTTATCGAGTCCCATTGCCATGGGGTGAGCCTATTGCCATGTACTGAGTACAATTCCAGTCTCTGTGCTACTGAGATTATTTTTAAAAACCCAGTTGTATATTGGCCGATCCGGGAATTGAACAGGAGACCCCTCGCCCGGCAGTCGCGACCACTCGGCCAATGAAGATATACACAGAATAAATACACACAGAATATAATATGAAATGTAGGTTATAGTTACTTTTTGCTAATTTTGTTATATCAGACCTTTATAATACTAGACTTAATATAAAATTACTAAAAGCTTATAATCTACCATTATTATATTATTCTTCTTTAAACGCGTTTAGACACATATTTTGTAGCCTCTGATTCCTGGTTTAAACTGTCAAACACCAAGCGGTCACCGGTGACCGCAACCTATTGTTCTATAATTGTGTCTACAAAACCGGTACTCGACGAGTTAATAAACTTGATATATCCAAAGAGTAGAATATTGTTAAAGTAGAGACTGTCTCGTTGGCCGAGTGGTCGGAAGTGCGACTGCCGGGCAAGGGGTCTCGGGTTCGATTCCCGGGTGGCGCAAAGTGTTACTGGGTTTTATTAATTCTCAATAGTAGCACAGATTCTGGAATTGTGCCCGGTATATGGCAATATGCTCACCTCTTATTACATGAGACTTATAATATAAATAGTAAAAAGTGGGTGTTACAATGTACAGTGGTATAATGTGCACTTCTGCCTACCCCTCCGGGGATAAAAGGCGTGATGATATGTTAGAATATTACATAGAAAACTTACCACGCAGTTGCACTGATGAAATATAAACGGTATTCTTGACTAATTAAATATGAAGTGACTTTTTACATATTATTTATTGATATAATGACATCATCCCACTTGGGAATGTCAATGAAAAATAAATTAAAAAACGTCCTAGACTTTTTTAAACTTCTTATTTTGTGCAAATATAAGTGGTCGAACGGAAGATTGTATTCAAATTATATTTGATTGCAATATCGGGTTATTTGTTTTTTTTTTTGTTGGTTGCTTCGTTGGCCGAGTGGTAGCAAGTGCGACTGCTAGGCATGGAGCCTCGGGTTTTTTTATTTTGTTTTTTTTTTTAAACTTTGCCCCATATTAGGATTATCTCCTGTATCATGGTTGCGTTTACAAACATACAAGTTCACATACACAATGACACCCAGACCTGAAACAACAATTTGTGGATCATACAAAGTGTTGTTCCGTGCGGGAATCGAACCCGCGGCACGTTGCACGGCAGCCGGTTGCCCAGCCACCGCACTAACCGTGCCGTCAGTACCGTGGGTTTGATTTCCTAAAGGTCAGACAAAGTATTATTGGGTTTTCTAAAAATTACTCCGCAGTAGCACGGAGTCTGGAATTGTGTTAGGTATATGGCAATAGGCCATAAAAAGTGAAAAGTGGGTGTTACATTGGTATTGGCACTTACAGTGGCATTGAGTGCCATAATATGCACCTCTGCCTACCCCTTCGTGGATAAAAGGCGTGATATTGAATATATATATATGTGTGATATTATATATATATATGTTTGTTTTATTAATGATCACGTTTTCGTGTACTTACAATAATTTGATACGATTGCAGTTTTAGTCAGCAAGTCAAAACGAATTCAAAGAAATCACACGCAATCTTAGATAGGCTAAACGTCAGCTCCAATGAGAATCATAACATAAGTAACTGACAATAAGGCCTATATTGTTTTAAAGACATGAAAGATATCCGTGGAATTCATCAAATTTTATGTGCAATAACAAACCTTAAACACAACACTAAATTTTTAAGGAGTATAATATGGAAGAAAAACTATCCAAATAGATATACTGTATATTAGCCTGATGAAAATCATCCTCTAAATTTGTTCATACCAAATTAGTCTCCAAACATCGGAAATAAGGTCTATAATAATAATAATAATAATAATAACGCAATCGCAGGTTGGATGAGGCTGCGCTTGATCGGCTACGCCTAGAAGCACTGCGCAATCGTGTCGTCCCTGCACCACCACAATCGGTGGCACAAACACCTATAGTCTCACAATGTGTGACGCCAACCACCCCTATCGTTGGTGTGGAGGATGACAGGGTTGAACAAGTGAGTACTCAGTGCAATGAACGATTGAGGAGTGCTTTGGAGGATGCGGTTCGTGAGTATAGACTTGCTCCTAGCAATTTAAGACCAAAATTACCACGTTTGCCCATGTGTAGAAAAAATAGGGCGCTGGTGAGCGCCTTGGATTCGCTACTTAAAAAATATTTTGAGAGTAGCGAAAACCTCTATGATACACACTCAATCTTGTACTGTGGGGCAGTAGCTGCTTGTCGAGTGGCTAACGTCAGATTCCCAAATCTTGACGCAGCAGTCCGACCAAAACCAGCAGTACCTGCCTGGCAGTATAGGATAGAGCGTCGTATCAGTGAGGCCAGGGTACTCATTGGCAAACTATCCTGCTTCAGGGAGGGCAATACTCGCCCTAGAGTGATGCGCTTTGTAAGACGTGCATTTGTGGGGACTGAAACCAGTCCTCATGAATACCTGTCACGTGTTACAGAGCGCATCGACTTCCTGAAGCAGAAAGTTTATGCATGGGCAAACCGTATTAGACGTTACAAAAAGAGAGTGGAGCGCTATACTCAGAATCGCATGTTCCAAAGAGATCAGAGGTGGGTATACAGAGATTGGGAACGATCCAACCAAGATGTGGTTGACGGGCGGCGACCGGATGATGATGCCACTAGCACATTTTGGCGCAACATCTGGTCGGTACCTGTTAGCCACACAGAAGGTGACTGGATGTTTGATGTTAAGCGAAGGTGTGAGACTATACCAGAGATGGAGGAGGTAGAAATCACCTCCTCTGATGTAGCCAGTGCAGCCTGTTCGGTCCCGAATTGGAAATCACCGGGGCCGGACGGACTGCACAATTTCTGGATTAAATGGTTCAAGAGTTCACACGTTCGCTTAGCATTACACTTCCAGGCAGCTTTGGAAACTGGGTCGTTACCACAATTTCTAACAACAGGAGTTACCCACTTGCTCCATAAATCAGGTAGTTCCACTGAGCC